AATATATTTTCCAATATGTGTATTATGTATTTTCATCATACCTTCATCATTGTCAGATTTGAATTTCCCGCTCCCCGCCTCTCTGCCGGCTCGGCAGTGATTGGCTGGCACCTCTACAGCTGGGAGGAGGCTTGGTCGCCTCCTGAGCGCCTGGGCCAATCGCTGGGCTAAACATGTCAGAAATATTAACAATTAACTGGGTATTTTTGATGACAAAAGTGTGAATCCATCACTAAAAGAGTGAGTAGGCCGAAGCCTGTTAGAGTCAGTGGGCCGAAGCTAGTGTCGCCCTGAGGAGAGTGAGTAGGCCGAAGCCTGTTACAGTTAGTGAACCAAAGCTGGTGTCGCCCTGAGGAGAGTGAGTAAGCCAAAGCCTGTTAGAGTCAGTGAGCCAAAGCTAGCGTGGTCCTGAGGAGAGTGAGTAGGCCGAAGCCTGTTAGTGAGCCAAAGCTAACGTCGCCTTGAGGAGAGTGAGTAGGCCAAAGCCTGTTAGAGTTAGAGAGCCGAAGCTAGCGTTGTCCTGAGGAGAGTGAGTAGGCCGAAGCTTGTTAGAGTTAATGAGCCGAAGCTAGTGTCACCCTGAGGAGAGTGAGTAGGCCAAAGCCTCTTAGAGTTAGTTTGACTCAGTGAGAGAACTCCTCAGTCTGTGTGAGGTAAACTTCTGTGTGAGAGAAGCCTTGTGAGGGAGCTCCAGTATAAGGACAGCTGTGTAAAGCTACTGTGTATTTGTTTCTTCCTGTTGTGGAAACCTTGTTATTTCTAAATAGTACAACTATATTATTTTGCTACAAACAAAAGCCTCCTATGGAAGAGTTAATGTTGGCCTGTGTGTTTTTTGCTCTTTGTACCACTTTGGGCTTCCGGTCCTGGGTCACGCTGCTGCTAATGGGTTGCTCTACTGTACATGTATGAGGAGGTTCTTTTACAAACTTACATATGCAGATGATACCACTTTGATGGCCGAAAGCGAGGAGGAGCTGAGGAGCCTTCTAACCAAGGTGAAAGAAGAAAGTGCAAAAGTGTGGTGGAGGCTCCTTTGGAAGCTTTGAAACAGAGGCTGGATGGCCATCTGTCGGGGGTGCTTTGAATGTAATTTTCCTGCTTCTTGGCAGGGGGTTGGACTGGATGGCCCATGAGGTCTCTTCCAACTCTAGGATTCTATGATTCTTTGTGTGGACAGTGGACAGCGTGCAGTGCTGGAGGGAAGCTTGGCCCAGCAAGACCCTACAAGGCATGGGGGTTCCGTGTGGGAAGTTTGGCCCAATTCTATCATTGGTGAGGTGCAGAACGCCCACAGTGCTGTCTGTAGATAGGTGAACTACAACTCCCAAACCCTTCCAGTATTTTCTGAATATCATGGGAGTTCTGTGTGCCATGTTTGGTTCAATTCTATCATTGATGGGGTTCAGAATGCTCTTCGATTGTAGGTGAACTATAAATCCCAGCAACTAAAACTCCCAAATGCCAAGATCTATTTTCCCCAAACTTCACCAGGGTTCACATTTGGGCATATTGGATATCTGTGCCAATTTTGGTCCAGTTCTATCATTGCTTGAGAGATCTGGACAGTGCTTTCTGGTTGTAGGTGAACTACAACTCCCAAACTCAAGGTCAGTGCTCACCAAACCCAGTATATTCTGAATGTCATGGGAGTTCTGTGTGCCAAGTTTAGTTAAATTCCATTGTTGGTGGAGTTCAGAATGCTCTTTGATTGTGGGTGAACTATAAATCCCAGCAACTAAAACTCCCAAATGCCAAGGTCTATTTTCCCCAATCTCCACCAGTGTTCATATTGAGGATTCGTACCAAATTTGGTCCAGATCTATCACCGTTTGAGTCCACAGTGCTCTCTGTAGGTAGGTGAACTCCTCAGCATCCGTGCCAATTTAGTCCAGATCTATCATTGTTTGAATCCACAGTGGTCTTTGGTTGTACCTGAACTACAACTCCCAAACTCAAGGTCAATGCTCACCATCGCTTCCAGTATTTTCTGAATGTCATGGGAGTTCTGTGTGCCAAATTTAGTTCAATTCTGTTGCTGGTGGAGTTCAGAATGCCCTTTGATTGTGGGTGAACTATAAATCCCAGCAACTAAAACTCCCAAATGCCAAGGTTTATTTTCCCCAATCTCCACCAGTGTTCATATTGAGCATTCGTACCAAGTTTGGTCCAGATCTATCATTGTTTGAGCCCATAGTGCTCTCTGTAGATAGATGAACTACAACTCCCAAACTCAAGATCAATGCTCACTAAACCCTTCCAGTATTTTATGAATGTCATGGGAGTTCTGTGTGCCAAGTTTAGTTCAATTCTATTGTTGGTGGGGTTCAGAATCCTCAGCATCGTTGCCAATTTGGTCCAGATCTATCATTGTTTGAATTCACAGTGTTCTCTGTAGATAGGTGAACTACAACTCCCAAACTCAAGGTCAATGCTCACCAATCCCTTCCAGTATTTTCTGAAAGTCATGGGAGTTATGTGTGCCAAGTTTAGTTCAATTCCGTCGTTGGTGGAGTTCAGAATGCTCTTTGATTGTGTGTGAATTATAAATCTCAGCAACTACAACTCCCAAATGACAAAATCAATCAACACCAGCAGTATTCCAGTTTGGGTGTATCGGCAGAGGCGGCCCTAGGTAATTTTCAATGGTAAGCAAACAGTATTTTGGTGCGCCCCCCCAACCAATCACTGATATATATTTTCTGTTCGTCGTGGGAGTTCTGTGTGCCATATTTGGTTCAATTCCATCATTGGTGGAGTTCAGAATGCTCTTTGATTGTAGGTGAACTATACATCCCAGCAACTACAACTCCCAAATGTCACGATTCTATTTTCCCCAAACTCCACCAGTGTTCACATTTGGGCATATTGAGTTCAGAATGCTCTTTGATTGTAGGTGAACTATACATCCCAGCAACTACAACTCCCAAATGTCAGGATTCTATTTTCCCCAAACTCCACCAGTGTTCATGTTTGGCATTGGAGTTCAGAATGCTCTTTGATTGTAGGTGAACTATACATCCCAGTAACTACAACTCGCATATGTCAAGGTCTATTTTCCCCCAAGAGCGCCTCAAGAGCGCCCCTGGGCAAAATCAACTATACTGCAATGCTTACTCTGCGTATGGGTTGAGCCGCCCCTGCGTATCGGGTATTTGTGCCCAATTTGGTCCAGTGAATGAAAATACACCTTGCATATCAGATATTTACTAGGCTTGGTTGATCATGTTCGTTAGTTTCTAAACTCGTTATGAATTCGTATTTAAATTAGCTTTCGATCCAATATCGAGCCATGAAGGGATAGTGTGAGGAGTAATTATGATACAAATTTTCCAGTTTTCATAATTATTTTCGTATGTATTATTATATTATATTATTATATTATGTTATAATTTTATATTATTATATTATATTATATTATATTATATTATATTATATGTTATAATTGTATGTTATTATATTATATTAATATAATTGTATATTAAAGCACCCCTGACAGATGGCCATCTATTCTTAATAATAATAATAATATAATATAATATATAATAATAATAGTTTTAAGCTGCTGGGCCAGGAAGACGTTTAGCTGGGTTGAGACAAGCCGTTTTAAAGCGTTTTAAAGACTGGATTCCTGTAAGTCAGCGTTTCTCAACCTGGGGGTCGGGACCCCTAGGGGGGTCGCAAGGGGGTGTCAGAGGGGTCGCCAAAGACCATCAGAAAACAGTATTTTCTATTAGTCATGGGAGTTTTGTGTGAGAAGTTTGGCCCAATTCTGTCATTGGTGGGATTCAGAATGTGCTTTGATTGTAGGTAAAGTATACATCCCAGTAACTACAACTCCCAAATGTCAGGATTCTATTTTCCCCAAACTCCACCAGTGTTCACATTTGGGCATATTGAGTTCAGAATGCTCTTTGATTGTAGGTGAACTATACATCCCAGCAACTACAACTCCCAAATGTCAAGATCTATTTTCCCCAGACTCCACCAGTGTTCACATTTGCGCATATTGAGTTCAGAATGCTCTTTGATTGTAGGTGAAGTATACATCCCAGCAACTACAACTCCCAAATGTCAGGATTCTATTTTCCCCAAACTCCACCAGTGTTCATGTTTGGGCATATTGAGTTCAGAATGCTCTTTGATTGTAGGTGAACTATACATCCCAGCAACTACAACTCCCAAATGTCACGATTCTATTTTCCCCAAACTCCACCAGTGTTCATGTTTGGGCATATTGAGTTCAGAATGCTCTTTGATTGTAGGTGAACTATACATCCCAGCAACTACAACTCCCAAATGTCACGATTCTATTTTCCCCAAACTCCACCAGTGTTCATGTTTGGGCATATTGAGTTCAGAATGCTCTTTGATTGTAGGTGAACTATACATCCCAGCAACTACAACTCCCAAATGTCAGGATTCTATTTTCCCCAAACTCCACCAGTGTTCATGTTTGGGCATATTGAGTTCAGAATGCTCTTTGATTGTAGGTGAACTATACATCCCAGTAACTACAACTCGCATATGTCAAGGTCTATTTTCCCCCAAGAGAGCCTCAAGAGCACCCCTGGGCAAAATCAACTATACTGCGAATGCTTACTTTGCGTAATGGGTTGAGCCGCCCCTGTGTATCGGGTATTTGTGCCCAATTTGGTCCAGTGAATGAAAATACACCCTGCATATCAGATATTTACATTGCGATTCAGGACAGTTGCAAAACTAGAGTTGTGAAGGAGTCATGAAAATAATGTTATGGTTGGGGGTCACCACGACATGAGGAACCGGATTAAGGGAAGGTTGAGAACCACTGCCGTAGGGACACCGCGATGGGCCTGCTCTGCTCTCAAGGGGGGTCCCTTGGCTCGCCCGCAGCTGTCTTCACCCGGCCCGGTTGGTGGGGACATGTGTGCCGTTCCCTCCCCCTTGGCCTTTTTAAGACGGAACCCGATCCTCCTTCCCAGGGGCTGATAATACTTATTGAGGACCGGTCACGTGGGCCGGTTTTGACAGGTGCAGCGGAGAAGCGAGCGGACGGACAGCACAGCCTGGGAGGACTTGGGGGGAGAAACCTTGACCTCCAAGAGGAGCCGAGAGAGAAGAAGGCAAGCGAAGAAGGGAAAGCAGGGCTGAGACAGAGAGAGCAAAGCGGGGAGCAGGGCAGGCGCAGAAGGCAAGATGACGACGCAGATAGAGACCCACGTCCAGTACAACCATTCCTACATGACGACCGAAGACTACATGGCCCAAGAGGAGGACTGGGACCGTGACCTGCTGCTCGACCCCGCCTGGGAGAAGCAACAGAGAAAGGTAAGCCGTTAATGGGGAAAGTATGGGGAGAAAGTATGGGCCAGCTTCAGCCTTTCCTCCAGGTGTTTTGGACTTCAACTCCCACCATTCCTAACAGCCTACCGGCTGTTAGGAATGGTGGGAGTTGAAGTCCAAAACACCTGGAGGAAAGGCTGAAGCTGGCCCATGCCTGGACTCATTGCCCTTTCGCATTCGACACCATTCTAAACAACCCAAGTTTACTTTGTTTACCTTTTCCCATCACCCTTATATGTGTTTAGATTGAACTTCGTTAATGAGACTATCGTCAGCATCATTGAACCCAAAATATTATTTCCTCCTCTGTGCTCCAAATTTAGAAAACTAAATGAAGCAGAGAGGGACTCTCAGACCTTATGCAAATGGACTGTGTTGAACTGGATTATATGGCAATGTAGACTCATATCCAGTCAATCTGCATCATACAGCAGGGTAGATCCAGCTTCGAGAGTCAGAGATGAGTCAGAACAGGCTTCGCCCTCGAAAACCTATTTACCTCACCACACTAGACCTCATCGTGCTAGACTTCATAATGCTGGACCTTATCACACTAGATCTCATCACAGTAAACCTTTTCACACTAGACCTCATCATGCTAGACCTCATCACATTAGACCTTTTTACACTAGACATCATCACATTAGATCTTATCACGCTAGACCTCATCACAGTAGACCTTTTCAAACTAGACCTCACCACACTAGAGATTATCACACTAGATCTCGTCACACTAGACCTCATCACATGAAACCTCATCTCACTAGACCTTTTTACACTAGATGTCATCACATTAGACCTCATCACACTTGTCCTCTTCACACTAGACCTTTTCGAACTAGACCTCATCACACTAGAGTTTCTCACACTAGACCTCATCACACTAGACCTTTTCAAACTAGACCTCATCACACTAGAGCTTATCACACTAGACCTCATCACACTAGAGTTTATCACACTACACCTCATCACACTAGACCTTTTCAAGCTAGACCTCATCACACTAGACCTTATCACACTAGACCTCGTTACACTAGAGTTTATCACACTACACCTCATCACACTACACCTCTTCAAACTAGAACTCATCACACTAGACCTTGTTGCACTAGACCTTATCACACTAGATCTTATCACACTAGATCTTATCACACTAGACCTCGTGACACTAGACCTCGTGGCACTAGATCTTGTTGCCTTAGATCTTATCACACTAGACCTTATCACACTAGACCTCCTCACACTAGACCTCCTCACACTAGACCTTTTTACACTATACCTCATTGCACTAGACCTCGTTGCACTAGACCTTATCACACTAGATCTTATCACACTAGACCTCATTGCACTAGTCTTCATGGCACTAGACCTCATCGCACTAGACCTCATCGCACTAGATCTTATCACACTAGATCTTATCACACTAGACCTTATCACACTAGACCTCATCACACTAGACCTTTTCACACTAGACCTCATCACAGTAGACCTCATCACACTAGACCTTTTCACACTAGACCTTCTCACACTAGACCTCGACACACTAGAGAATGCATCCACTTTCAATCCAGTTTCTGCCTCCTGCAGAATTCTGGAGTTTGCAATTTAGGGAGGAATCGTTAACAGCCTCATTAAACTACAAACCCCAGAATCCTGCAGGAGACTGAAACTGGATTTAAAGTGGATTCATTCTCTAGTGTGATGAGGTCCTTTTGAGACATGAGAAAAACCTACAACACTTTCCAGGGTATGTGTGCATGTGTGTATGCATTTTGCCTCACCTTGATGGCAGGATAGACAACATGGAAATGATCCACAAAGATAAAGGATGCTGTATAGCAGGCATGGGCAAACTTTGGCCCTCCAGGTGTTCTGGACTCCAACTCCCACCATTCCTAACAGCCTACCGGCTGTTAGGAATGGTGGGAGTTGGAGTCCAGAACACCTGGAGGGCCAAAGTTTGCCCATGCCTGCTCTATAGAGTTGTGGCAAGTTTTGGATAGAAAAGACTTATGGTGTTTGGATTAGATCCAGAGGAACAAAAGGCCTGTCGCTTCCACACACATTGCATGGCAGGAATGACGGGAAGGGACGGGTTTGAGGAGCCAGCTGCCATTCTCTGTGCCAGAGATAGGGTTGCCTGCAGCTGTCGCTTCCCGTCATCCCGATCTGCATTCTATACGGCACCATAAGTGACATTCTGGGCACAGTACGTCAGAGGAGACTCGCACCAGCGCGAAGGAGAGCATATGTCATGGGAGTGGAATCCGCCAAGGGCCGCGTCTGAGCCATGCCTGGAATGACGGAGACCCAGGAGAGACCAAGCGAGAGAGAAAGGCATCGGCTAAATATATCTCGGTGCGGTGGAATTAGGGAACATGTCCTAGTGCGGCTTATGGTTTCAATGGCTGTTGCCCCTTGAACCGTAGTTATGCTACATCTGCATAATCCATTCGCTTTTTATGGATTTTCACCTCTTTATATAGTTATTAATACCATTTATATTTAATTCAGTTTCAATGTTTGTATATTGGTAGATGTTAAACTGTACTGAAAGGCTTTGAGCCTCCTTGTTGGAGAGAAAAATATATCTTGGTGCAGTAGAATTAGGGAACATGTCCTAGTGCGGCTTATGGTTTCAATGGCTGTTACTCCTTGAACCGTAGTTATGCTACATCTGCATAATCCATTCACTTTTGATGGATTCTCACCTCTTTATAAAATTATTAATACCATTTATATTTATTTCAGTTTCAATGTTTGTATATTGTTAGATGTTAAACTGTACTGAAAGGCTTTGAGCCTCCTTGTTGGAGAGAAAAATGGTGAATAATAATAATAATAATAATAATAATAATAGGAAGGGGAACCCCATTGCTGCTTCCTGCTTTCTAGTTCCAATTGGAGATCTTAGCCAATATTTGCCTCCAAGGTTGACATTCGCCAGGTTAAAATCCACATATAAATAACCTTTCTATGGCAGGGTGGGTAGGAAGATATGTTCTGAAATCCAAGCCCTATTATTCCTCCTTTATCTAAAGGGGCCCCTTGTATACTGTCATATAAAATCCAGATGACCTGCTTTGAACTAGATTATATGGCATTGTAGCTCAGATAATCAAGTTCAGTGGTTCTCAACCTTTTTTTGACCAAGAACCACTTGACCAGGGACCACTTTGACAAAGGAATATTTGACCAAGAACTACTTTGACCAGAGACCACTTTGATGAAGGACCATTTTGACCAAGGACCACTTTGACCAAGGACCACTTTGACCAGGGACCACTTTGACAAAGGACCATTTAGACCAAGGACCACTTTGACCAGAAACCACTTTAATGAAGGACCACTTTGACCAGGAACCACTTTGACGAAGTACCAATCTGACCAAGGACCACTTTGACCAGGGACCACTTTGACAAAGGACCATTTTGACCAAGGACCACTTTGACCAGGGACCACTTTGTCAAAGGAACATTTTGACCAAGGACTACTTTGATGAAGGACCATTTTGATCAAGGACCACTTTGACCAGGAACCACTTTGATCAAGGACCATTTTGATCAAGGAACACTTTGACGAAGGACCATTTTGACCAAGGACCACTTTGACCAGAGACCACTTTGACCAGAGACCACTTTGATGAAGGACCATTTTGACCAGGGACTACTTTGATGAAGGACCATTTTGATCAAGGACCACTTTGACCAGGAACCACTTTGATCAAGGACAATTTTGATCAAGGAACACTTTGACGAAGGACCATTTTGACCAAGGACCACTTTGACCAGAGACCACTTTGACCAGAGGCCACTTTGACCAAGGACCACTTTGACCAAGGACCACTTTGACCAAGGACCACTTTGACCAGGAACCACCTTGTTGAAGGACCACTTTGATCAGGGACCACTTAGACCAGGGACCACTTTGATGAAGGACCATTTTGACCAGGGACCACTTTGACCAGGGACCACTTTGACCAAGGACCACTTTGACCAAGGACCACTTTGACCAAGGACCACTTTGACCAGGAACCACTTTGACCAAGGACCACTTTGACCAGGAACCACTTTGACAAAGGACCATTTTGACCAAGGACCACTTTGACTAGGGACCACTTTGACGAAGGACCATTTTGACCTAGGACCACTTTGACCAGGAACTGCCTTGATGAAGGACCACTTTGACCAGGGACCACTTTGATGAAGGACCATTTTGATCAAGGACCACTTTGACCAGGAACCACTTTGATGAAGGACCATTTTGACCAGAGACCACTTTGACCAAGGACCACTTTGACCAGGGACCACTTTGACCAAGAACCACTTTGACCAAGGACCACTTTGACCAGGAACCACTTTGACCAGGAATTACTTAACCAGGGACAACTTGATCAGGAAGCACTCTCCAACATTAGTACCAAAAGGGTTACGAATCAGTTTTTGGTCAACTTTAGATTGAGTTTGGTTATTTGGAGGTGCTAATTCAGAAAATTGCATTGGATAGACTCCATCAGCTCAGGTTCCTGATCCAGAACATATGCCATCCAGTAGTCACCATCTGCTCACCTACAGAAAACCATATTTGATGGCAATGGTGAAGCCACGGACCATATTTTTGTTCTTGTGGACCACTGGCGGTGCACGGACCACAGGTTGGGAATCACTGATCTAGTTGAAAGGAGATAATGGTGGATTGTCCGATTTGATAATCTGGATTATATATGGCAGTGTAGATCCAACCAGGTGGCTGCAATGACACCGTGGGTTATACTGCTGAGCTGCAGAACTTGCTGACTGAAAGGTTGGCGGTTCGAAACCACGGAGTGGGGTGAATTTATTTATTTATTTACTACATTTATATACTGCCCCTCTCAGCCCCTTCTGCTGTTCGCCCCAGCTTCTGCCAACCTAGCAGTTTGAAAACATGTACATGTGAGTAGATTAATAGGGGAAGGTGACTGTACTCCATGCAGTCATGCCGGC